GGTAGAGCCAGGGAAGGCCACTAAGACGGGATGGATGTCGTCCTCAGGGCATGGAAAGCCCGAGAACTAACACACACCGTGACCAGTGCCTCCTGGATTTTGGCAGGTGCAGTTGGTCCAGGACCCAGCAACGGGAGGAACCTTTGTTGTGAAGGCAAGTGCTACCCAAGCTGTGCTGCCCCGTGGCACTCCCTTGGGACTTTCTTGGAGCTTTTGAGACCCCTGCCTGCCTTTTCCCATCTCCCCAGGATGTATATATGAGGCCCTCGCTCCCTCCAAAGTCCAAAGCTGCTTGTTCTTCTGAGCACTGCCCCAGGCATGGCCTCCAAGGCTGATCTACATGCACACTACCTCACCCTTGGACATTAGACTCTGTGGGATAAGAGGGTTGAGGACTGGACCGGGACTGCTCAGGCTGGCTTCCAACCCCTATCCTGTGCCCTGCAGCCAGAGCATAGGCAACATCAGCTCATCTACATGCCCTGTCCCATCCCCAGGGCCTTCCCAGGTGCCACATGGGAAGCCAGGAGCGGCTGACGATCATCCCACATGGAGTGCCCTACATGACAAAGTTGCTGCGATACTTTGTGAGTGAGGACTCCATCTTCTTGCACCTGGAGCATGTGCAAGGTGAGGGGACCTGTGCCCTCTCCCCGTCCCCCTCCCCCGTACCACCCCCCCCCGTCCCGTCCCCCCTGCTGAGCCCTGGGGAGGAGTGTGGCTTGCTCCAGATGTGTGGCACAGACAGGGAACCCTCAGCCTTTCTGAAGGCTGAGAGCAGAGCCAGGCTGTTGGGAACCTCTCTGTGGTGCCCAGGGAAGAGGGGACATCCCCACCCTAGGCAGGTGAAGAGGAGGGCATTTATTCAGCTTTCTCCTCTGTGGCCATTCGCTTTAGTCTTGGCTCCTTGCACTTTTCCTGGTCAGTGCCACCCCTAGTGGCCGCAGAGTGGCTGGTGACGAAAACTGTAAAGATGGGAACTGAGCCATGAAGCCGATCCTTAGTGACTTTCAAATGTGCGGCACAACCTTGGGTCATGGCGTAGGCACCGTAAATCCGGGCTTGGCCCATTGGCCTTCTGTGACACCACTTTCCTTAAAACAAAAGAGGAGGTAGGACATGTTGAACACCAGTTTTCCAAGAAACTGGTGCTCCACTTAATCCAAGCTCACGAGCATCAGGTATGCATGCGGGCTGTGAAGTAGGTCAGAGTCGGGGAGAGTGTGTCCTAGGTCACAAGGGGAAGAGCAGGGTGATGAGATGGCTGAGTAACGCCAGGAGCCCCGAGAAGCAGACAGGGCATGCTGAAATGGAGGCGGTGGGGTGGGCCTAGTGTCCACACTCTTCTCCCTCCCACACTCTCACCCCCTGTTTGGCCCAGGAGGCACTCTTTGGTCACATCTGCTCTCCCAGGCCCACTTTCAATATTCTGGGCTCAAGCCTGACTCTGCCCTGGAGAAGTCAAAAGCCCAGCTCAACACCCACCTCTGCCTCATGACCCCTGCAAAGCTCCCACCGGGCCGCAGCTTGGGGCAGGAGAGGTTCCCAGTGGAGCCTCCGCGGACTTCTCGGAGCCTTCCCCCAGCCAAGGAGATCCCATCCCCCCGAGACCTCCAGAAAGAGGCTGACAGTCAGCCCTCAGCCAGGACCAGTCCTCTCTGCTCTTCGGACCTCACAGAAGCCCCGTGGGGCCACGTGCGCAGTCAAATCAGGCGAGCCGGCCAGAGTTCGAACCCTGCACCCAACCGGAGACTCCACTGGGTCCGGGAAGGGGCTGACCGGGTGCTAGGGGCCTATGGCCGAGGCAGAGGTCAGAAGCCGCCATCAGCCAGCAGGGCCAGCCCGGGGTGTGGAAGGGCTGTCTGGAGCCCGAGGGAGGAACAGGTGAAGCAGTGGGCCGCGGAGATGCTGGTGGCACTGGAGGCCCTGCATGAGCAGGGGGTGCTGTGCCGGGACCTCAACCCACAGAACCTGCTTCTGGACCAGGCAGGTAGGAGCCCCAGCCTCTCTGCTCCAGCCCTACCCCTCAGGTGGGAGCCCAGAGTCAACAGGACCCCCGAGATCATAAGGCTACAACGCCGTTTCTCCCCACTCCCTTTCTTCCATCTGGCCCCGTACAGAGGACCCAAGCCTGGGGCTACCGCTCCAGGAACACCCCTAAGTCCTGGGCAACAAGGGGACACGCCCTTAGGGAGACCCCACTCGGGATGACCTTCAGCCCCTCACATGACTGTATTGGGGGGACGCCTTGGGATTGCTTAGAGATGCCGGCTGCTCAATGATGCTGCTTCCAACCTTTGTCCCATCATTCCTCTCTGGACAAGGTCACATCCGACTCACATATTTCGGCCAGTGGTCCGAAGTGGAGCCCCGGTGCAGCCAGGAGGCTGTGGACCGCCTGTACAGTGCTCCAGGCAAGATGGGAGTCGGGGGAGATTCCTGGATCTCGGGTGCTTTGGTATGGGTTAAGGACAGAGGAAGGGCAGGGGCTACTAGAATGCCAACAGAAAGAACGTGTGTTCTTGTTCTCGCAGAGGTCGGGGGCATTGCTGAGCTGACTGAAGCCTGTGACTGGTGGAGTTATGGGTCACTTCTGTATGAACTGCTCACAGGAACAGTGAGTAGCTGGGCAGGGTATAGAGCCCTGTGTGTGTGTGTGTGTGTGTGTGTGTGTGTGTGTGTGTGTGTGTGTCATGGATTATAGGCTGAGCAGAGGCTTAATCAGCTAGAGTCCCAACAGAGGCAGCCTGGTTCTCCATACCTGACCTTTGGGCTGGATGTCCCTCCACCCACAAGACCACCAGCAATAGAGGAAGTCACTCCCGCCAGGCCATCAAAGACTTTAGCACTCCTACCACACAAGGGACCATTGCGAAGGATGTAAATTATATGAGCTGGGATAGCCAGAGGTTTATGGATGAGCATGCCTGGCGTGAGGTTCGGAAGGCTTCTGGATTATATCCAGTCTCTTCCACACACCCTTCAAAGCTGCATCCCTAGACCTCAGCCTGCATCCGAGCCGGGAGCTGCTTTAACCAGCCCGGTCAGCCACGCCCACTTGCAGGCTGGGGAAGCGGCTCGGCTGGCAAACTGCCTGCGGCTCAAGCCTGAGGACTTGAGTTCGATCCTCGGCAACCCTGTCAAAGTCTAGTGTGATGACGCACATCTGTTACCCTAATACAGGGCCTGGGGTGAGACCAGCGGATTCCCAGGGCTGCTGGTCAATCAATATCGAGTTCAGTGAGTCTCAGTCTCAAAAAAAAAAAAAAAAAAAAAAAAGGTGGAGGGCAGGAAAGACACCCAGCTTCAACCTCTGGCCTTCACATACACAGAAAACCCACTTGATTAGGCTTCACCCTCTCTACTCCTCTCAGAAGAGCCCAGAACTACATCTGGGGCCAACTAGGTTGGGAACAGGGGATTGGACAAACTGCAGTCGAGCAGGAAACCGTGGAGCGGCACCGGCAAACGGCGGTATGACCCAGAAGGCCAGACCTGACCTGCTTTGGTTCCCAGTGGCTCAGGGCCTCCGAGAACCCTTTACACCAACAGTCCTAAGCCCCACACGGCTCTCCTCCAGTCTTCTTGCAGCTCATCCTTACTGCAACATCCTTCCGTTCCTCTCCACTTTCCTGCCTTGGCCTCAATGGGGCCGCATGCCGTGTGGCTTGTGGGGCCTTTTTTCTGTAAGGAAGTTCTAGTGCTGTTCCCAATAGCGCCTACTCTAAAGACAATGGAGATGATGCTTCCAACAAGCTGCAGGGTCAAACCCCGATGTCAACCCAAGCCCCCTTTCCTGAGTTGGCGCTCCAGGTCTGGGCCATTAGCAGATCCTCGCCAAAGGCAACTAAACATCATCTTCCTCCTGGAATGTGTCATGGGGGTGGGGCAAGTCTTGGCTGCCATTAGGGTGTCAGCGTCCCTAAAGCGGCCTCCTCAGTGTTTCTCCTTGTCTCCCCCTCCTCTCCAGGCACTGTCCCAGAGCCACCCCTCAGGATTCCAGGCCCACACCCAACTTCAGCTGCCGGAGTGGCTCAGTCGCCCAGCAGCTTCTCTGCTGACCGAGGTGAGGTACTGGCTGGCCTAGAAATGGCTCACTGGTACGTGGGTGGGGGCTGGGGGGACCACCTGTCCAATACAAGTGCCGTCAAGTACTAGGGTGCTAGCTAGCGCCAATGTCATGGGGAGGGGGTTATTGACTGGGTTAGCAGGGAATGGGCAGCCTAAGGCTTTGATGATAGGAGTCCCGGGAGGTGGGCGCCTACCTCCCTGATGGGGAAGCGCTGACTGAGTCTTCCCCCATAGCTGCTGCAGTTCGATCCCCAGAGGCGTCTAGGTGCTGGAGGTGGCGGCACCAGCCAACTCAAGTCCCACCCCTTTTTCAGTAGTATCCAGTGGAGCCGACTAATGGGGTGAGGGGTGGGTAAGAGGACAAAGCAGCTGGCCTGGTTCCTGACTGTCTGCCATCTGGGCTGGCCCCTCATCAGTGGACCTCAGGGGACGAAGGTGGTTTCCTGCTTGGGTCTTAGAGGACAGCCTGTCCTAAAAAGTCGGCCCCTGTACAAGCTGCTGGAGGGGCAGTGAGGTTCGGCCTGCTGAGCAACCTATACTCGACAGTCGACAGACTCCTCGTACCCTTGGCTGGGACCCATCACGTTAAAGGGTGCCTTCTGTTGCTCTAGCTCCAAAGTACTCAACACCCGCTGAGCCCAGTGAGAACCTGGTGGCACTGCCATGTTGTACACCACTCAGGACATCCCAGGACACTGAACCTGTGGCTCAGCAGACCCAAACCAAGACAGTCCTGGGTCCATCCCAGTGAGCTGCTTCTCCCAGAGGATGCTTGTTCCACAGGGGTTGGGCCACTCGGAAGTAGGTTATTCTGTAGGGTGGAATGGAGAGAGGTGGGGAAGTCTGGCCCACCGACTTTGGAGAATAAATTAAGAAGAGAAGCCAACAGTGTTAAGAGTGGGGTAAGAATACGGCTTCACCACGTAGACTGCGTTTGAAAATAGAATAAAGAGCTTTATTCTCTGGCTGGCTCTCCTGTGTCAGAAGAGTCTGCCCCACAGGACCAACAGAAGATTCTTTCTCAGGTGTTCTTTTCCATTCTGCATTTTGGTATGAAGCTCTGTTCAATTCACTGCCCGTTCTGACTTTTAAAATGAGACACCACAGAACATACAGAGCAATTTTACCCAGGCTTCTGGCCAGGTATTTCTGGCCTCTGAAGAACTGGCTAAGTTGGTATCTCCAGACCACATCCCCTTCCCTAGGTGTGAGGGCTGGCCTCAGGACAACCCAGTCGCTGGGGTGTGGCACATGCAGCAAAACTTCACTTGATCAACACCACAGGTGGCATCTGGCATACTTCACCAACTGGGGAACTCACCAAACACTTGTGTGTGTGTGTGTGTGGGGGGGGTACACATTGACAGATTCCTGTTTCCAAGTCTGGAGCAGAGGACAAGGAAAGCTCTACGCTCCGTGACCAGAATCCTAGCAGCCCCTGGGGTCTGCCCCCTTGCTAATAAAGCCTCTTCTTTCTGTGGTGTCTTGGCATCATTAGTTCAGTGAAAGTGGCCTGCAAGGAAGCAGCTCCTGCTCCTACAGAACAGGCTTGGGAAAGGGCGGAGAGGGAAGAGAGACCTTAGAAGATCACGGTGCTTGAGGAAACACTACCTTAACCTCCAATGAGCCCATGGAAGATTCTCCTAAGAAAACAGAGGTTCTGGGGAGAGGTTAACTTAGAACCAACCGCTGGAGCTGGCTACAAGTGTGGGTTCCTTCTGTGGTAGACCCAATGCTGGACTGCTTCTGCCACTGCTTTATGAAGCAGCACGAGCCACTCTGGGCTCACCTAGCCAACCCATGTGCATACGGCCCTCTTCTGAGCCATCAATCTAGAACACCAAGTCCCAGTTCTGACAGGGCTTACGTATGGCTTTTCAATAAAATGGAACAGCCACTCCAGAAGTTGACTGGAAACATTAACTCTGGAGCACACCTCAAGCTCTACACCCGATACACGGTTCGCTGAACCCATCTACCAGCTCAATTGCTTAAGGACCCCACTTCTTCCTGTGACAGGCCTCCTCAGGCCTCACTGGAAGCAGGAACAACAGGTGAGATTCTGTATGGAAAAGTAAGGCTGTGTTGAGGCCCGCACTCCATCACGCCCATTATCCCTTGTAGTCATTCTAGGTTAGTAACCAACCCTGTCCTGACCATTGTCCCTCACATATTACTGCTCTTAGGAGTGACCTCTCACTGGTCATTCTACCACAAACATCTCGGTAGACATGTGGCAACTAAGTCCGAATGAAATTAGAAGTGTTCATGTCTCTCCACTCTATCTGAGAAATAATGCAGGCCCCTCCAAAGGGCAACTGTCCCCTGGTGTTTTTAAAGGGCTTCACATAGGTTGAAGCTACGACTTCTCTTCAAGAGTTGGCTTGTCAGAACCATAGGGCTCCCTGAAAGGAACCCAGGCACTGAGAGATTAGTGGGTCCCCTGCTGGCAGTTGAATTAGCATAGCACTAGCATGTCTGAAGTCTGGGATGGGGCCTCAGGACACCCAGGATAGCCAACTCCAGGTGAAGGAGCTTCAACGGTAGGCATCTAGACATCGTGGTTGCCAACTGGGGGCTGTACAGGCTGGTCAAAGGAGCACAGATGCGGGAACCCTGTTTGAGAACATTTGCCCTTTAATTTTCATTCCAAATCAGTCTCTTTAAATACCTTAGTTACAAGTTCTGAATGGTGAAGATGTAGTAGCAGATGCTGCAGGCACTCAGTACTGGCCTTCCCCTCCCCCAGCTTGTCCTGGATTAGTTAGCACTAATGGCCCCATGTCAATTGCCAGCAGTCTCAGGCCTCGGTGCAGCTGGATACAAAGCCTAGGAGCTTTCACACCTAGTTACTTGCATTTTACCATGTGTCAAGAAATCCCAATGATTGTGCCTGGACCCAAAGGCCAGTGCCTTAGAGATGACATCCTCCATTTCATCACTATGCACTAACTCCTGAGGCTGGTTCCCACCAGTCCATCCTCCCCCTGTATCTGTGTCCAGCCAAAGGTACCAAGGCCTTGCTTCCCACAGGCCACACCCAGAAAGGGACAGAGCAGCCCCTTCCCATCACATGCTGATACCACCTTGAACTTAAGAGCTCTAGACAACCTGATCTGGTCAGAGCCAATCCCTTCACCAGGCTCTGTCTGACTGCCATGATGTGCTAAAATCTGCTCCAAATGAGAACCATGACCTAGATTCCTAGAACCCCGGGAAGGGTTGGTATGACCACAGGTATACAGGATTATGCCAAAATCAATCTTCCCAGTGAGCTTACAATGGAGTCTGTGAGGGCAAGCCAGGGTTCTACTCCCGTCTGTGATTATAACAGGTAACCTCAGGGGACTCTGCACCATCCTGCCTATGCCCGAGTCCCCTGGCCTGTGCTTCCTGGAAGAGGTAGAGAGGCACCATGAAGCCATGGACAGACAGCTCAGAACGGTGGTGAGTTAAGAAGCCAAGCAGCGCCTCTTGGCCTGGGTCCAACACCTCCACACAGGTGGCATCCCATGGGAATGTGCACAGCCGGGCAGAGGCTTCGAGCCTGGGAGGCAGAGCACCCCCAGGCATCTCTGGAGAACACTTTCCAAAGATAGAAACTCAATCACATGGTCCCTGGTGGTATCCCTGTAGTATACTGTTACCGGGGAGAAGCGAAACTGTCTTTGCTGAGGGCTGGAAGAAAGGCAGGAATATTAATGAGCATCCATTAAGGCTCTCCCTCTCTCCCTCTCTCAGGCCCAAGATCTCAGAAGGCAAGAGAGGGAGGCAGAGAGAGAGAGGAAGAGTCTGGAAGGAACACTAAGAAAAGACCTGTGAAAGCTGGTTACATAGTGCCCTGGCTTCCTTGCTTGAGGCCAACAGTATGGTGCCTGCCTGTCATCAGGCTAACCTGGGACTGATGAGGGGACAGGGAGAAGACTGGTTTCAGTTCCTGCATGATCAATAGGTAGGGGTGTGGCTTCCTCCTAAAGGTCTAGGAGGAGGACTCTTGGATCCTCTACTGCTGCCTTGATTTTCCGGAGGAAAGTCACAGCCTCTCTGCCATCAATCAGCCGGTGGTCATAGGTCAGGGCTACATACATCATAGGTCGCACCTCCACCTGCAGAGAGAAGAGGCAACAGGTCTGTACTCTGCAGCAGAGAAAGCTCCGCTGAGGGAAGAGGTGAGAAGGCACAGACCACACCAGCATTTGCAGTTCCAAGTTTTCCCTACTGTGCTGCCGCCCCTGGGTAACCTGGCTTTATTACGAAGGCCAAGCTTACCTTTAGTGCAAACTCTGGGACTCGGAAGCAAGGTTTAAACAAGGAAACAGCTCCTCAAACGGCCTCAAAACAGACAAGCAACACCATACTCTACCTGCAAATCTGCTACCTAAAGAAAGGTTTTCTCTTGGGTTGTGGCTGCCCTAGGAGCTACTCTGAAGTTACAATCTTTTTTGTTGTTGTTTTTTCAGACAGGTTTCTCTGTGTATCCCCCTGGCTGTCCTGGAACTGGCTCTACAGACCAGGCTGGCCTTGAACTCAGAGATCTGCCTGCCTCTGCCTCCTGAGTGCTGGGATTTAAACACATGTGCCACCACTGCCAGGCGGCAGGTACAATCTTTATCACTATTTTTTTCGATGTTGTGGATCCAACACCTAGGCAAGCACCCTTCTACTGGGAAACACCTCCGCCTTGACGTTAGAATTGAAAGAGAAAAATGTATGTTGTTTGCTTTCGCGTCTGGTCTCATGTAACACAGGCTGTTCTCAAACTCATTGTACAGCCAAGGAGGACACCACATTCCTGATCCTCTGGCCTCTACTTCCCAAATGCTGTAACTACAAGCATGTACTATCATGCCTGGTTTATCAAACTCGGGGCTCTGAATACACTAGACAAACCCTTTACCACTGGTTTATATCCCTACTCTAAGGGGGAAAAAATTAATCGTTTGAGTTCAAATTTCCTGCTATCTGCCAGGTGTGGTGGCACACACATTTAATCCCAGCACTCAAGAGGTACAGTCAAGATCTCTCAGTTCAAGGCCAGCCTGGTCTATATGGAGAATTCCAGGACAGACAGTGCTACATAGAGAAACCCTGTCTTGAAAACCCATAAATAAAAAAAAAATAAATCTGTTACGTGTAAATCTAGGTGTGGAACTGTTCTCCAGAAAGAAGATGTACGGTTTTTGTATATACAAAAGACTCAGTGAGCCAAAAACATTCCAAACATAGCAGTCTCAGAAATCTTTTCTTATTTTTTAAACTAACTTATCTTCCAATGGCTAATTCAAGCTCTTTGGCCTCATTCCTTGAACTCCCAGAAATCTTATAATCTTCTCATACAATTCTACAGCTCATAGATTGCAGTGTATTATACCCTGTTTCCCAGGGTCAAGGACATGTCTCCCACTCTACCCACCCCTGACTCCCTGTGGCACTCTGACAATGAAGCATGTCAGCAAGTCCCAGAGGACTGGGTACAAGCCTCTTTAGCTCAGTGGTTCTCGGACTTTAACATATCACAACTGTCTGTGCTTCTGCTTCTGTGGGTGTGAGCTGGGGTCGAAAAAGAAACTGTTTTCAATTTGCTTTTTCAAAAAAAGTTGTATTCTTAATGTGTATGAGCACATGTACACATGTGCATGCCTGGTACCTGAGGAGGACAGAAGAGGGTGCCTGACCCCTCAGAACTGGCATTACTGATGGCTGTGAGCCATTACGTGGATGCTGAAAAGTGAACCCAGGTGCCCTGCGAAGAGCAGCCAATGCTCTTAACTGCTGATTCGTCTCTCTAGTCCAGCGCTTGCTTTTTTAACAAGCTCCCAGATGACGTTGATATCCGAAGATCACAGTCTGAGAAAGTGACTTAGCTATCATTTAGTAATTAAGAAATGGAACATAAGCCTGAAATTATAGTGCATGCTTTATAATAAGGATTTGGTCAATTTCTCTCTTATAGGCACTTAGCAATTAAAAAAAAAAATCACAAAAATGATGGTTCTTACCTTGCCTCCCACAGCCACAGGCCTGTCAAAGATGCCATGCATGCCCAGAATGGCAGACTGAGGGGGGTTGATAATGGGTGTTCCAAAAAGTGACCCAAAAACTCCTCCATTGCTAATGGTGAAAGTACCACCATCCATATCTTCAATGGCAAGTTCGTTCTTTCGGGCCTAAAAACAAGTTCATACTTGAATCATTAAGTCAAACCAGATTTCTTTACTCCAAAAAAAAAGTAAATCTAGAAAATTCTTATCTGAGATCAGTAGTACAAACTCTGGCAAACAAGACAGGTATTCAGCTAAGGTGACTGTGAGAAAGAGCATGACTGTATAATCAACATTTCTTCCCAGCAGACCCTGGCTGTTGAGGTGCCCGTCACCCAAGCATGTGAGGCTCTGGCAGATGCCTGACCAATGACAACTTCTGAAGGCTGTGTCCCCTCAAGTGCCCAGCAGCTCATCCACACACTCCGTCTACTGTACCTTCTCTCCTAGTTCACTGATGGTCCGTTCAATATCTGCATAATTCATAGTTTCCACGTTCCTGATGACAGGAACCACGAGACCCTGGAGTGAAAGGTTGTTTTCAGTTACAAAATAACAGTACTCTTTAGAATTATAATTTCCTTGATTTAATCCACAGGTCTCCCTAACCAGAACACCCTAAACTCACTGGAATTAAAAAGACTTACACGAAGATAAAGGAATATGATGGTATGATTTAAAAAACAAAAAACAAAACAAAACAAAAAAATTTACTTTTACTAATGACCCCCTAAAAATGTAAAATTGTAGAAATGACCCCTTCCATATGATCTACTTTTTAATATAAATAAGGTGAGATCTGTGGTGGTTTGAGTGAGAATGGCCCCCATGGGATCATATATTTGGTCTGAAGTTGGTGGAACTGTTTAGGAGGGTTAGGAGGTGTGTCCTTATTGGAGGTGTGTCACTATAGGCAGGCTCTGGGATTTCAAAAGCCATGCCATTCCCAGTTAGCCAGCTTTCTGTCAGCTACTGCTCTAGCATCACGTCTGCTGCCACACTCCTGTCATGATGGCAATGGACTCCTAACCCTCTGGTCTGAAGCCCACCCAATAAACTCTTTCTTTTGTAAGCTGCCTTGGTCGTGGCGTCTTACCACAGCAATGGAAACATAACTAAGACGGGATCTAAGCAAGCACTCCCAACCTTGCCCCAACATACCCTTGGGGTAGCAACCGCAACACTGATGTCAATATAATCTCTATACACCACTTCTTTGGCTGCATCATCAATCACTATGAAAGAGAAAACGTTACGTATAACCCTCTTGGCCAAGACTACTGAGTTAACAGAGTGAAAATTTTCAGTGGCTAGTGCAGTGTGGGCTAACTAATCAACAAGAAAATAACTACATTACACGCAACTGACTCTCTCCTTACTTCCATCCCAATTTATGACAGTATTTCCCAAGCTCTGAATGAACCTGCATGTAGGAGCATCTGTTCTTTCACAGCTCACAAAAGGTTCACAGTAAATAAATGCCCATTCACTTCTTATCTATGCAAGCCCTCCTGAGCAAAGAATGACTAGTTACTGAGTGCTCCATAGAAGGGCAAGGGGGGTGTGGGGGGGTGTGCCGCGTGTTTTTTCTGCGGGGTTTTGGGAGCGTCTCTCTAGAGACCCAGGGGGGAGCGGAGGGGATCTGGCTTCTAAATACGCCATCTTGAAATAGCAAACCAACTGCTGAAAATTGTACCTACCACTTATAGGAAAATCAAGGCTTGGGAATCTTCCCAAGAGTCTGTACTGTATTGTTAGAGCGCAGGTCAAAGGAGAACGCTGAGATGCCTACGAGCAAAGACCCTCCTCCTCATCTACAGCACAGCATTCAATGGGGGAGAGACTGGGGATTACATGCCAAGGACTGTAAAGTGTCACTGTCCCTTTGCTATCTTCCAAGGAACACAGAAGTGCCTCAATAGGAAAGAAAGCACTGTGAACCACATCAGCACTTCAATGAGGAAGGTAAAAAGGAAAGACAGTGAGGACCAAGTTTCCCCAGTGAGGCCCCTAACTGGAGATCAAATGCCAATGTGAAGTCAAGTCCAAGTAAAGGGCCCACGGCGGTGGTGAGGAGCAGCCAGAACTTGGGAGTCCCCATGATGACAGACAGCCTGGAAAGCTGGACTGACGCAGAGCTGCCTGCTGCCAGGGCGACTGCCATGCACACAGTAAGGAAACTTCTGCCCACTTGGTGGGGAGATAGCAATCATGATAGCACTCGAGGAAGGTGAATGGAAAAATTCACTTAGGGAAGGTGGTCATGTTTCCACATTGTGAAATAAGCAGCCTTGGTGACCCCTAAATGTGACAGCAGGTCTGCATTCATACACCCAGCTCCAAAGACCTCTGCCACACTGGTCTTAAGAAACTCACCTGCATTTACGACAGGCTGTTCCTGCAAGGCAAAGGCTGAGGCCTTCACAAACGCTGACATGAAGCCTAGCTTGAGGTTATGTTTCTTCAGGAAGGCGTCTTTGTGCCGAGCTCTCATCTCCTGGATGTTACTGTTGATAAAGGATACAAAGAAACTGCCAATGAAGCTCTGCGTGACTGCGTGTGTGTGTGTGTGTGTGTGTGTGGGGGGGGGGAGGGTGTGCGTGCACGTATTGCCACAGGCTGAGTCAAAGCCCTCTGGGCAATGCTGGCAGGTGTTTTACTCCTGAGCTATGGCCCCCACCCTTTTAAAATTTCGGGACTGGGTGTCATGAAATCGTCCAGGCTAACCTTAAGCCTGCAATTCTCCAGATTCAATCCCCCAAGGAGCTGGGTTTACAGGCCTGTCCTACCTCCCAGGGTGGCTATCGCCTATTTTGGATTTCCATAGACTTTTTTTACCCATGTATACAACTGGATGAGCTTTTCCCTTAGTCTGTACCGTCTAAGTTCAAGTCTTGAAACATTCACTAGTGGTCAATGTAATAAACTGCTCTATCACAAAAAACTGACCTAGAAGAATCAGTGCCAACCTGTCTTTAAGATGGTTGAGCCTGTTAAAGGAATCCTTTTTTGTTCTGGAAGTTACAGATTTCAGTGACAGATAATATGAACAAAAGAGCACACTGAATACCAACATCCTTTCCCTGAATGAAAAAGTATTTTTGGCTACAGTAAAATCATGAATTATCCACAATGAAAACAAATTAAGTCTATTAAAAAAAAAAAAAACTCTTAGAAAACAATATTCCTCAGGAGGCAGGGGCAGGCGGATCTCTGCGAGTTCGAGGCCAATTTTGGATACAGAGTGAGTTCCAGGAAAGGTGCAAAGCTACACAGAGAAACCCTGTCTCGAAACCCCCCCCCCCAAAAAAAAACAAAAAAACAAAAAAAACAAACAAAAACCAAAGCTGATTACTTTGTGATACTTTTCCTTCCTACTTATCAGAAAAAGAAAAAGCTACCCATGAAGTATGGGCTCCATGCAAGCACAAGCAATTCTACGTAACCCAGAAGGGAAAACCAATGTTCTTTCAGGCCATACAGAGCCAGCAGATTCACAACTTCCTGAGTTAGCAGTTCTATCTACTTGCTCATGAAACAGTTACTAATGCCCATCCCATGTGAGGACTGGGCTGGGCACCAAGATACAAAGACAAGGCACAGTGCCTGCTCCTAAGATTAGCTTTACCGACTGTGGTTTCCTTGGTATTTAGAAAGTGGCTCTGTGTGGGCTGTGGCCTGTCTTTCAGATTCAGTAGCAGGGCTTGTCTCTGAGAAGACTTTGCAACTTGAACATCCTCTGGTCTATCAAGCAGGGCTTTTTGTTTCCACACAAGTACTACAGAGTCAGTGAGAAACGTCTCTCCTACCATTTTCCCAAAGGAACACCTATGATTATAGGAATGACATTCCATGATGGAAATTGAATCTAACTTTATCTCAGGTCCAAATGCTCAGTTCTCCCTTTCCCCCTATAATGGCTTAATTCAACATTAACAGGAAAGATAAGATGTGGTACAGTTTTAACTGCCCACTTCAGACCTTTTGTTTCTGAAAAAAGGAAAATTTCCTAGGGGGACTGATTGGGTTTAAATGTTTATTTTCCTGAGTCTAACCTCATTTAGTGCTAGGATTACCACCCTAAAGACATTACTGGTTCCCAAGACGCAGGGCTGCAAAAGCAGGAAAGAGGTGTGATAAGTGTTTCTGCTCTCAGACCTGCCTGAATGCCATTTTCTGGTCATTAAGGAGTTTCTATTTCAGAGCTCTGCCCTTGGAGGCAGAGCTGAGACAATGGAGGAAGAAGCAAGTCTCAGAAAGGCCTCTTCTGGGTTAGCGGATAGGCACAAGACCCAAAGGGCACTCAATCGAAACCAGATTACTGGCCACAGTGAGGCCCCAGGCCACTGCTAAGTGACACTAGATTAGCTACTGAAAGGAGATCCAGCTATTAAACTTACTTGCAATCAAGGATGTTGGGTCAACTGCATCTTTTAGGGACATAAATATTTACATGCTTGTCTTAAGAAACTGGGTAAAATTTCAAAGACCAATTTAATTTGTGTACAATTTGCCCCTAATGCAAGAAACATAAGCTGCAGCCTTTGTGATTCATTAGTGAAAGCCCTTCCCTATACTATGGATGCTACAGAAAATGGCACTCAGTATCCAGAAAGCTTCCCAGTAGGACAATGACGTCTAGTGAAATTAACCAGACCCCACACACTGTCAATAAACCAAGGAGACAAATCCCCTCACCAAAAAGTAGATGGAGAGACTTAATATTCAGAGAAAAGGAGGTGGATGCCTTGAAGATTTGACGATGTATCTTTTGATTTAATGAATTCTTACCTTGACATTCAAAACCTAGTGAAATACGGATCTAACCTTCATCATTCTTCCCTAGATATGAAATGATTGTTTCTGTTTCTTATACTTTCTTGACAGTGTCATGATCCAAACTGTTAAAACTACCTGGGATGATTTTCTCTATAACACTATTTAGCATTTTGTTTTTTGGTTTTTGTTTGGCTGCTTTTATTTTTATTGAGACAGGGTCTCATATAGTCCAGGGTGGTTTTGAACTCTATGTAGCTGAGAAGAACCCTGAATTGTCGATCTTTCTGCCTCCACACCCCAAGCACCAGGATTACAGAATTCAGTGCACCACTGAACCTGGTTTAAATGCTTGCCATTCTTGAGCGCCCAATCAAGCTCCTTCCTCCTGGAGACCTTCCCTGGCCCTCCTTTGCTCCTCACCCTTACAAGAGCAAACCCACTCCCTCCTCCACCTCATACTCATTTTTATCTTTCTGATGCTCTTTTTCCAGATTGTATTTAGTGTTCACCAAAATGAGACAGTAAGCTCCAGAGAGCTTATCCCCCTGAACTGAACACGTTAGTACTCTGCATACGATAAACACTTAAAATGCTTGTTAAATAAAACTATTTTCTCTTCCCCACAATGCTTATACTCGCACACATCAAAATTTTGAACAAATTTTGTTTTGAACAAAAAAGTAAATCAACAAGTAGCTCATTCCAAGAATGGGTGTCGTGAACTCAAGTCTATATTTCAGAAATCAACTTCTTTTAGGGCTGGGGCAAGCAGGAGTCTGAACCCCAAAACCCACATCAAACCCACCCACCAACCTGGGTGTGGTGACACACACTTGAAGTCTAAGAGCTGGAAAGGAAGGAGACATGCAGACCCTGGGCCCACTGGCCAGCCAGCTTAGCCTAGTTAACGAACTCGAGCAAGCAGAAACCCTGCCTCAATAAACAAGGCAGATGACTCCCAGAACAACAATGAAGCTGATCTTTGGCTTTTATATGCATGCATGCACACCTCTACACACACACACACACACACACACACACACACACACACACACACACACAACTTAGTTCCAATTCCATGATCAAAACTGGGAAGAGTGAGAGGTGGTAAGTCTCTGTGCTTTGGCCTGGTTGACTGAGCTGCTTGGGAACATACACAAGGAACAATCACTTTTAGAAAAAAGCAGAGGGTGGTGTCCTGGCTCTGGGCATGCCGTGAAGGGATTCCCATTCCAAGGAGCAGCAGGTCTGGAAGTGGGCCATTACAGCAGCAGGGCATAGTGGCACCACTAACATCACCCTCAGCTACACAAGGAACATCCTCATGCCTAGCCTGGGCAACACGAGAGCCTGTCTCAAAAACAACCAAACAATAAAAACAGGTTGGACATGATGGCACACACCTTTAATCCCAATATTTTGGAGGCACAGGCAAGCAAATCTCTTGTGTGTTCAAGGCCAGCGTGGTCTACACAGTGAGTTCTAGACCAGCCAGGGCTATATAGTGAGACCTTGCCTCAAAAACCAAACAGGGCTGGAGTTATGAACACATACTGCTCTTCCAGAAGACCTAAGTTTGGTTCCTGGCACTCATGTCAAGGGGCTCCCAACCACCTGTAATTCCAGTTCTAAGGGATCCAATGCCCTTTTCAGGCCTCTGTGGGCCCCACCCACACATACATACATACACATAAATAAAAATACAAAAACCTAAATAAAAAAAAATACTTTAGGCTCATTTATCAGAAATCGTAATAGTTCAGGCATTGAAGTTCAAAAGGTGAAGCTTTTTACGTTGCAGAGGAAGCAGACACAGAATCAGCAAAGTAAATTAGCAAATGAGACCAGTGGGTCACGTTGCATAAGTCAACCCTGAGCAAAGCCGAGAAATACCTCTCCCTAGTGAAGCTAGCATTGGAATCAGCAGTTGATAAGGACTGGGGTGCGTTCAAGTATTCTACAAGAAACACAGACATGGGGAATAGAAGGACTAGAGATTCCCACCTCATGTCAACCTCATTAAAAGTAGTCAGCATTGCACATGTATTCTGGGCCTCCTTCAGACGCTGAGCAATGCGCTGCCGCATCCTGTTCATTTTTTCCTGCAAGGGAAAGTGGAACAAGTGTTGACAGTCTGACTATACCCTCACTCCCCAGGCAGGGAGAGAACTCAGCCTGCCGGAGATGGATGGCAAGCGCCAAAGTTTTGGCTTTTGTTTTGTTTTGTTTTGAGATAGGGTCTCACTACATAACCCTGACTAGCTGGGAACTCTCGATGTAGACCAGGGAGGCTGGAGACCCTCCTGCCTCCCAAGTACTGGGATTAATGGCACATGCCACAAAGCTAGGCCCAATCATTACTGTTTAAGCTACAGGCTTCCCTTTTCCTGAATGGCCTCAGATCAAGACCACAGAATCAGAGACCAAAGTATTCACTCAGATGTGCCTGAAATTTGACCAAGAACAGAGGCTCAGGAAATAGTGTGATTTAAAAACCAAAACCAATTTATAAAAGGAAGATTGTGGTGTAGATCCAGCCAGCTTAAGAGTCATCACAGAAATGGCAACTTCTGTTGATAAAGACTTGCGTGAGAACAGTTACTTGGGGAACGGAAACTCAAAAAAAATTGAGGCTATGGTATTTTTAGGAAGTATTCTCAGGCAACCCCCCCCACACACACACTTTTAACCATACTTCCTTGAGGTTTTTATGTCTGCTCTGACAGCAACATTCTGGCCCCCCAGTAGCCCCCCAGCTACAGCAAAATATCCCAGAAGTTTAAGAACAGAGTCCTCAACAGACTACCTGTGTGAAGTACCTGTCACTGTGGGAAGGAAAGGATGGGCTATGAAGCTTCTGTTCTCCACAGATATCTGACTCATCTGAATCATTTCAGATAGCACAATACAGTAGAAACACCACTGGACAAGCGCTCAGAAGTCATGCTTTAGTCATACCACTTGACAGTTCTGAGACCATGAAAAGGAACTTTCTACACCCTCAAGGCCGAGGGAAGGAGGGACCAGCTCTTCGAAGACGAGCGTCACACTGTCACCCTCCACACCCACCCTCTGCCACTTTCCTAGAAGGCTCCAGAGGCTTACCCGATGTTCTGAACGCACACCTTTAGCAGCTCCCAGCTCAACCAGTGGAGGGGCAGCAGCAGGTTTTATTGCAGAAACTGCAAATGAAGAGAAGGGACAGATACTTAGACACAGAAAGCAACACTTTCACTCCCGAGTCTCACTTCATCTTCAAGATCCTAAGGTGATCAGCATCATTCCAAACCCAGATGAGCAATCTGCTCCTAGAAGAAACAAGACTAAAGTCTCATGGTCAGTAGGTGGGAAGCTGGGAGGCACACCCAGCTCTTAGAAACCTAGAGGGCTCTGTACAAAGCAGCCACGGACAGGGCGTGTTCAGAGCCAGGACAGCTTCAGCCTGGACCTGTGAGGGAAGGCGGTACTAGAAGAGGCGCTCTCTCCTATGAGGACAGGCCGTGCGGGTCCAAGGTGAATTCATCTTGACTGTTCATTTGGCAGGACTCAGAACCACTCAGGAGGTAAAACCCTGGGTGTGCCAATGAGGGTGTTCCAGAGAAACTCTAAGTTCTCATTCTCAGATGGGAAGACTCGCTTTGAATGTGAGTAGCACTGTAACTCGGGCTGGGGTTTGGGAGTGAAATACACACACACACACACACACACACACACATTTTTTTTTTAAAAGAAGAAAGTAGGTAAGTGAATGGAGCAGCAGCGTTCCTCTTTCTTGCTCTAAAGACTCTGTGACCATCTGCCTCACACGGACACCACATCCTCTTCCCTGACATGATGGACTCATCCTCAAACAAGGCCGACCCAACCTTTCTCGAGTTGCTGTTCACGAGGTGGCTGTCACAGCAATGGGATGATCAGCTAACACGGGCCTTACCTGGCTTGCTGGAAGGAGGTTGTGAGGGGGAGGGCACTGGCGGCATCTGGGTGGGGATGGCTGCTGCGGGGGGAGGAGGGGCTGCCCGTGCCTCTGGCTCTGCCTTTGGGGCTGCAGCAGGAGCTTCCGCTGGCTTGGCCTTAGCAGGAGCAGCTGGATAGAAAAAGAGAGGTCACTGCACTGTCTGGAAGGGAGGGAACTACAGTGCAGACACAGGGAGGATTTAGACAAAGGTCTACTGCCAATCCGTTAGGTGTTTCACCGGCAAAGCAGAGAGAGACAGACAGACAGACAGACAGACACTAACAGAAGCCCGACTCTGTTCCCAGGACTCCCTGAATGTCCGACTGGCTCAATTCAGCTGCCTTCCCGATTTCACAAATGTTAATATCTACTGAATTTCAAATCCTGTAAATACTTTCAAAGCACCTACCAAGCCCAAGGAAATGAAACTTTTAGGACAGTGGTTCTCAACCTTCCTAACACTGTGACCCCTTAGTACAGTTCCTCATGTTGTGGTGACCCCCCAACCATACAATTATTTTTGTTGCTACTTCATAACTGTAATTTTGTTACTTTGATGAATCATAATGTAAACATCTGATATGCAGATGGTTTTAGGTGACCCCTGTGAAAGGGTCATACACCCCCCCCCCCAAAAAAAAGGGGTTACAACCCATAGGTTGAGAATCACTGTTTTAAGCAAAACCAGCCTAGGCACTGAAAATGTTAAAATGGATACATAAATGTGACATACTTCTAATTACAGTAATGCTGATATATTCATCTTCTATTTTAACGTAACATACAGAAGGAATACTCTCAGCCATTAAAAATTAAAAAATTTAAAGACTTTTTGTTTGCTTGTTTTTTTCAAGACAGAGTTTCTCTATGTCTTCAAGACAGAGTTTCTCTAGCTCTCCTGGAACTTGCTGTATAGACCAGGCTGGCCTCGAACTCACAGAGATGCGCCTGTCTCTGCCTCCCGAGTGCTGGGATTACAGGTGTGCCCACCACCAGCAGACCTAACTGTGTACATGTGTGGATCTGCATGAAGGTATGCGCATGTAAGTGCAGGTGCCGGAGAGGTCCATTAGAACCCAGGGAGCTGCAGGTGCAGACAACTGTGAGTTGCTGTGTTGGTGCTGGGAAGTGAACTTGGGTCCTCTGTTAAGAGCAGTCTGTACTCTGAACTACTGAGCCATCCCTCCAGCCTCCGAACTCTTTAATCTTAAATGAGCAATTGATAAAAATTTCATTTAGGGTCCTGGAGATAAGGTTCAGGAGTTCATAGTACACACTGCTCTTACAGAGGACCTGAATTCAGTTCACAACATGCACATGGGCCGGGTCACAACTGCCTGTAACTCTAGCTCCAAGATATTCAATGTCTATTCCTGAACTCTGAGGGTACAACTGCACTTATAGTTGTACATTCATTCATATTCTCTCTCTCCATCTACACACACACACACACACACACACACACACACACTAAATAAAAGATTAAACAGATCAAAGCATTTCATCCAGGATGACTCTTAATAGGAAGCAATGAGATGCTCAAGTAATAAATATGCAACTTTAATATGGACATTATATCCAGTTTTATAGTTTACTTAGAAAAAATGTATTTTAAAAGTAAAAAATAATTGATAAAGCTGGGTTTGGTGGCAAACACCTTTAATCCCAAGACTTGGGAGGCAAAGATAGGCAGATCTCTGTGAAACTGAGGGCACCCTGGTCTACATATTGAGTTAAGGGCCAGTCAAGGCTACAGAGCAAGACCTTGTCTCACTAAATAATAATGATAATAAAAAATGATGATGACAGAGTTCTGACTGGAGAGCTTGCTCAGTGAGTAAGCTCTCGCTCTGTTAACATGAGGACCTGAGTTCAGTTCCCCAGAACCAACACGAAGCTGGGTACAGCGGGCACATCCTCACCCACCCATAGAAGGATGGTAGGGAGAGACAAGAGAAATCCTGGGAACTCTCGAGCCAGCTGGCCTGGCCCACGCAGCAGAGAACAACTAAGAGACTTTGTCTCCAACAAGCTGGAAAGCAAGGACCCACACCCAAGAACTGTCTTCTGACCCTGCCACACATACACACCTGTACTCACACGAGGACACATAGAGCGGCGGGCATTAAAAGAAGAAGAAAAGGGGGTGGGGTGGACATCAACAGATTCACTCTTCCTAGATACTTTAGATTTTTTCCCTCACTTTGAACTTGATCTTGGCCTGACCAACCTCAACGGTCCAATCCATCATCTTTCTGTTTGACTATTTTAACAGTTAAATGCTACAACTACAAACATTTAAAGGTCAGAAAAGCAGATTTTCTCATCTTCAATATTGATTACAAGGTCCAGTACAGATATACACACACCTCTCTTTGGCATTTCTTCCAAAGGCAGACTTCAATCTTTCCTAAGATGTCAGATGTGGAAGAGACCCCTGAAGGCAGCAGG